TCTCTCTCTTTCTCTCTCTCTCTCTCTCTCTCTCTTAGTCGCACCTTTCTGCCTACCCCCTTGAACGTAAACTACCCACTCAACTTACCCACAAGAAAGAACTGCGTACGTTAGTATTCAGTCAAACAACTTTTTAAATTCTTTCGAGCCTGATTCATACAGAGCGGAAAACACCAGCACTGATGTATATGGGGTAGCGGTTAGATTCTACGCTCACGCAGGCAAAAAGCCGAAGTTCGATTCCCTTGAGGGCAGAATTTTTTCGCCGTCTTTTGGCTGGGATGTTGTATCCCTCTCAGTCCGGGTTGGTTCTGACGGGCAGGGTCGTAGTCTGCCTCCTAAATCGTCGATTTTAAGCACAAGGGGGCTATCGCGAAAAATGCTGTTTTGAGAAAACCGAAGGTAAAGTTTTTGCAACTAGTTCACTTTAAAAGACAGTGGGAGTTTTCTCTATAACCAAACATATGTACACACCAAAGAAACCAAACTTCTCCTCTCTATAGGTAGGGCAATGCCCACTTTTGGAGTAGGTCAAGATTTCTGAAAACCCCCGAAATCTGGGTTAGCCCGCTTGTCCTTAAAGCGATCAAATGATCGAAACTGTGTCGATTCTTTTCGGTGAGTGAGGGGAGGGGTGGTGTAAAATAACAACAACACTATACACAAACTTTAAAAAAAAAAAAAAAAACAAGCGGACGGATTAGGTTTCGTTGCGCCCAATGTTAGCCCAACAGTTCCCCTGCTCCTACACGCGTGCGTCCCTTTTGTCTTAGGCTGACGCATTGTGTAACGCGCTGTTCAAGAACTGAACTTTCGGGAGACAAAAGATCAAGTGCAAAGTCCTTGCTTCCTATTCTAGCCGTAACGAATAAGACACCGTGACCTTGAGAAAGGAACTTTATCCCACATCTAGATCTTTGTGTTCTTGTGCAGAGAGTTACAGTCCCTGGATACTTGGCTTAGGTAAGAAAGTGGATGTGTTATAATGTGCGACCAGTATGCGTGCTGCATGCTGCAATACGGGCCAGCCTTTGGGGGAAGTGGCAGGAGAAATGGGGTGTAGCAACAAAGTGTGTGTGGCTGGGGAGAGCGTGGAGTAAACAAGCAAGAGACGGG